GCCTGTATATCCGCTCGCCGCACCGACTTTCATGTGTCAAGTAGTGGCCTGTTACCCTAGACTTATGCTGTGCTCTAGTTCTTATTGTTTTCATACATGTTCCTAATGTGCTTCGGTCCATACTTGGTGTCTGCTGGGCTGTATTTTTTTTGTGCCGTATGGTGCTGTCCTTTCTTGTATATCCTGTACGGATATTTTCGTTTCTTCCGTGCCTGCTACTTTCCCTCTATTCCAAGCCCTGTTGCTTGCGTATATGTGCAGCTTTCACTTTGAGATCGTTGGAGTTGGTGGCCATGGGGCAATGCCATCTCAGACTCACGACCCTATTACTGCATGCGCTTCTGCAGTGCAGAACATAAACAGCTTTGTGGCGAGGGAGAACGATTACTCAGCTGATTCATCTGGATTTGTGTCTGTCACCCAAATCCAAGTCAGAAACACACAGGCCGTTCTGTGTCTCCTGTCAGCTTCTGACTGTCTGAGCCCTCTTCGCTACTCCGCACGAAAACATAGCTCGCGACACTACGACCACCGTGCAACAGGCATTCATGAACCAGGCAACGAAGAAGCATGTATTGAGACAGAGATGACAACACATAGCATAGACAGACGCAGAGAACCAGGGAGTTGGAGGTCACAAACACACACCAGTGCAAGTGTAATTGCTGTATACACGTGCAACATGGAGCGACATATGTGCTAGGCGAACGTCCCTATCGTGTCTTTCAGGCGGGGAGCGCATTTAACGTNAACATGGAGCGACATATGTGCTAGGCGAACGTCCCTATCGTGTCTTTCAGGCGGGGAGCGCATTTAACGTCATTCCATCAGAATGCACTCTTAAGGGAACCGTGAGAGCGTTTAGCAACGAGAAACTCCGGGAATTGCAACTTCGACTTCGTCAGGTTGTCCAGCGTACAGCCGAGGCTTTCCGTTGTAGCCTACGGGTCCGCAGTCTTTATACAAACACGCCGGCTCTCCGTGTACACCCCGAGGCGCTTGAAGTTTTTAAAAAGGTACCTCTGTGAAGACGTTTCTCCGAGGCTGCAAGAGCTCTTGCGAGACTGATGCACCCCTTTCCCTACTCAGGCTGCTACCTCCATTGTAGACGGACGCTGCTCTATGTACCGTTCTCCGTGCCCTCTAGTTGCATGGCTAGACCAAATGTTCGCCATACATTCCCGGATGCTTCTGTGACTGTTTGTTGTACTGCTTGCTAAATTCCAGGCTGCCTCTGCAGTACTCCCTAGTGGTCGAGTGGAAGCGATGCAGCCGACGTACGGTGGTGAAGACTTTTCTTTCGTGTTGGACAAACTTCCAGGAGTCTTCGCGTTCATTGGAATTGGGTGCGTTGCTCCTCACAGAATGCGCCCATTATCCTTTCGTGTTTTGGAGCCCGCAGAGTTCTTGAACTTCGATTCTGTCAAAAAAGAAACGCAATTAGGCTAGGTTTTGTGTTGTCCGGTGTTCACCCGCTTGGCTTTCCCCCAACAGCACCCACCCTAGCTTCTTCGTATCCCCTCGTATTCGATAATCCCATGCCTTGAACTCTTTAGGCTAGAGCCGGCATCTGGTTGTTTTATGCGCCTGTAGCTGCTGGTAGCTTTTCCCTAGTGGGTGAAGGGAAGAACAGCTCTTCTGCACACGCCCTGTTGGTGATTCCTGCGTACCCAGTAGTCACTTAAGTTCACGTATCCCGTATCATTTGTGTACTCATAGTCGTGCTCCATTTGGTGGCTGCGGTGTCTGAAATGTCATCAGGAGCGGCGCCAAGAAGGCAGGGCACGCGCCAACTTCTTTCGGTCTACACCACCCGAAGTTTGCTGTAGATGAAGAAGCACTGCACCTGGGTGCGGCAGTTGAGGCGCAGTTTGCTTTTGATGCTATAAACCATTTGCTGGACCACCAGATCCAAAAGGAACAGCCAGTACCGCATGAGAAGCAAAAGCACAAAGAGGAGTTGTAGATAAGCTGAAGCAAGCACTTCAACTGGATCGCGTTGACACAAGATCGCCTGTGCAACGAGTGGTAGAATATCCAGACCCATTGACATAGGGGTTGCTGAAGGAGCAAACGACCATGAGTTGGCGGTTGTGCACCAGGCAAAAGAATAGCTGGTACTGCTCGGTCGCGACCCGTTTTGAATCATATCAGTTTGTCACGGCACTGTGAACATGAGGCATTTTTAGTGATAAGCGCTATCGCTCCAGAAGGGCTAGATGGCGACTAGTTCCGCAGCGGCGAAGCGGCCGCAGATGCGAATGTTTGTAACTATTTTGTCAGTCGTGTAGTGCCTCAATAATTTGGGGTAGGCCAGGGTTGGGGTCGTCAGGGGGGGCTGATACGGGGGGTATGGGGGACGCCTTGCATTTAGTTTAACAGAAACGTTGCATTGTAGGCAGAACTATAGAATACAGTAAGCGGTAAGGGGTTAGACGAAAACTGCGGAGCCTTTATACCGAGCGTATCACGGCTCATGTAAAGTAAGCTTGTGTAGCTTCACACTGCAGGCTGGTCACTGAAGGCCAAGCAGGAGTTCAACAACTTTTGATAGTGTTAGGACATCGCAGCGAAGCAGGCTCGGTCGTGTATGCATGTGGGGTTGCCTTACAGCACGAGCTGTAGCAGGGTACGTTGGAACTCGTGTCCGCTCGCCTCCTCTACCCCGGCCCTATGTCAGTGAGCCGCCAGGCCCTGGCCGTCTGGGTACTGAAGAGGGTATCAGCTGCTTTATGGAGACCAGTATCGTCAGTACTTGACTCTTTTGCGGCTCGCGACGGCCCTCGGGCAAGATCGAGGGCTATCGCTACACGGAGGATGTCATGGACAGAATATCTGACAAAAGCAGACAAGTCAGTCGTTATTCACCGATGAAAAGAGGGAAAAAACGGAAACATGCAGGGGGACCGCTGTAGTTCAGATTGTTGCGAAGTGGCAGACTCTAACAGTGAGAACTATCTACAGAAGACCCGAGAT